AACCAAGCATCAATGACCCAAGGGTCATTGATGCTTGGTAATTTCTGCTAGAACAACTGCAGTGTTTCTGAGATGACTTTGTGTTGACCTGCCAAGTCGCCCGTTTCACTCACTGCATCCCGAAATGCTTTTACACTGGTGAACTGTTGCTCCTCACACTCCTCCTTTGGCAGGCATGTTTTCACCAATCTTCTGAGACCCCGGGCATAGTCAAGTTCGATCCAACATCTTTCCTTGACGAAGTGACTGTCGCCATCCGAAAACCCTCCATCTCATTCTTCGCCAGAAAAGAAGGAACAAATAATAACTGAACAAACCGACCACCATCACCAAAAGAGCAGAAACCCCTGTGCCACAGGAGAGCATGAAGCTCACACACCTGACCCCAAGAGGCCAATGCTAACAGAGGCAGTGCCTTAGAAAAACAATCTTGAACTGAAGGGGACACCATAAACTGAGGATGGACATTCCTGTGTCCATTCCGTGGACAGGGGTATGAACCAAGACAGGCCATCCACCAGGACAATGGACATCTGGATATGAACCACACGGAGGGCCAAACCCCAGAATTTAGCAGACGAGTCACTTGAAGCGATCAGCCCCAAAGAGCCAAGGACCGAAGAGAACCCCCCCTGCAGTTCAGACAATGAACCACCAGAGAGCAGACCAAATGGAGCTGGGTCATGGATCCTTGAGCGACCCGAACTCTCCAAAGCGACAGCCAACCCATTGCAAACTCCCGCACCATGCTGTGAGCCCAACGGAAAGACGAAGCCCACCGCCCCTGGCCGGCCTGGTGAGTACTGGTCACAAAACCCCATTGCTCCGACCAGACAACACCGGCTCAGAAACTGGCACCAATGGCCCATCTCAACTGGAAGAACCCCAAGCCCTGGCATGACCCTTCTCAGAAGCCCGTGAACGGGCCCCAGGGAGAACCAACATGTCCGACATAGGACTACAACTAGATGAGACCGCCTGCAGAAACTGAGCGACAGCAGCTCCTGCAAACAGCAACAGACAAAAAGGCAAAGAAAACCTAAGAGCCAGGGCCTAAGCAGATTCCAAAGAGAGCTAGCACAGCTTGACCGTACTCGAGGCGAGAGGCAAAGAGCAGAGACACTGCCTCCCGAGGAATCGGCGCAAACAGCTTCAACAGTGTGGCCGACACCCTAGCCGCCAAGGCAAGCACACCAGACTAAGGCCCAGCACTCAACGTCGCCACATTCTCTTCAAGCCAGTCCGAGGACAGCTTAAGAAGGAGAAAAGAAGCGCAATACTGAAACCAAATGCCCACGAGCGTGCAAGTCCTCAGTGACTAAAAATGCCATAAGGACCAGAACCTGCACATGCAGCTGAACAAGGCAAACATTCCAGGGAAGCACGGGCGAACAAGCACACATTAAGTTACTCAAACTCACCCACTAGGTAAACCTGCAGAACAGTAACCGCCTCCCACCACTTGAGCGTGCGGGTCCAACAAAACCCATGCCACGCCCACACCGAAAAGAAAGGGCAGTCTGCCAGCCAGGAAGACTCCAAAATCTCCAAACACACCCAATATGAGGAAGAAGAACCGAACTCAAACGAGGACGGATCCATCACAGAGGCATAATCCAGGTCTCACAAGAGGTAAGCCGGAAGAGCCTCTCAAACGACATTAGGCGAGATTCGAGAGGCAGAAAACCTCTGGAAAGAAGGAGCCGAGGAACCCAAGGGGAATCCATAACCAGTCGGGATGAGCCGACCCCAAATCATACAGGGAAAGAGGAGGTAAGAAAACCCCTCCCCCTGCAACAACAAACCCCCACAAAGAGGGAACCAAAACCCAAGCAGAATCAAAGAGGGGCCCAAACCCTCCAGGTCAACTCCTCCACAGCCCTGGGAGCCTCCAAACTAAGCTCCAGTGCAGAGCCGTCCTCCATACCCTCTACCCCCCGATGAAAAGGCAGAGAAGAAGGGGGTCCGCTGGTAAGACCCAGAAGCCTCGGCAGTAGGAACAGACTCAAATGCCTCCATCCCCCGACCCGAATCTCATCAGCAACTAAATTCTGCCCCGATTCCAAAACCCTCAGACGTTTAGGAGCCGGAAAAGGGGGAGGTGTGCAGGCCGAACAACACCAAACCTGGGAAGCACTTGGAAGTGTGGACAGAACCAAAGTCGAAGCAACTAACGTCCCCAAGTCCGGGTTCTTATAACCAAAACGGGGCAGCCTCGGGGCATCCGCATGGGCAACCAACCTAGCGCATTGCAGCAACCTAAATCTAGCATGCAATGCAATGTTTGGCGCCTGTACCCGAACCTCAGTGTCAAGAGAAGGAGTAAGTTGGAGTACGAGCAGAGAATATGACTCGCAAGACTCCAGATCAAAGGTGTCGTTGACCCAGCAGGCAGCATGACGGATGCAAAAGGTGACTATCACCCAGAGACAGGGGCACAGAGCAACCTTCAAACTCGCATAAGGCGAGGTGGAACTCGGAAGACGCATACATTGGTCAAATGAGCGCCAATGCGGTTTTCCAGGGCCAGCAGGCTGACTGCTATGGGAAGCCCAGGCAACGTACTGCAAAACCGGTTAGGCCCAAACAAGGGAAACTATTAAAAACTGAACCCCCTGTGACCTGCATAGTCATGGGGGTCTAGAGGAGGGCCATCAAAATAAGGCAAAAATAAGGCAAAAATAAGGCAAAATAAGTAAGAAAACAAAAAGACAAGAAAACCCCCCAGCAAAACTACAACGTACCCAGAAGGAACAGGAACCAGCTACCGCATAGGTAGGCAAGCTACACAGTACCTTGCGCCCCTACCTGCAACAATATCACTTCCTGTCCAAGGCCACACAAAGGCCATGAAAACCACAGCTGGCCCCAAGGGTAGGGTAAATGCTGAGCAGCAAAAACCCCTACGGAAGCGGTTCCCGAAAGTTCAATGGAAGATAACCCGAGAACCCAATTGTAGTACTTACAGGGCGCTTAGAAAAGGTAGCCCTAAGCACATGCAGCCCCATTACTCTCAAATTTCTCCTGGCCACTGCACCACACACTGCAGAACACACCACTAAGGTACAAGGCCAGAGTTGACGACTGCCCCAGATCACATTAGCCAACGAACTGTAGGTTCATAGGTTTGTAGGTGTCGAGTAGCCAGTGCGTGGGGCTCCGGGGCTCCCCCCTCCCTCCTCCTCCTCCCAGGAAAGGGAGGGCTGCGCGGACAAGCAGTGCAGTTGCAGTGTGTGACGTTTGCTTGTTTGCTTGTTCTTTAGGTTGAGCGAGTTCTGCCTCTCTGTTCGGTCTTCGGTTGCTATTTTTTTACCATGTCTGGTCTGTTTTGTTATGCCTACTTTTCTAGGTGCTAACCCTGGTCAATGGCAGACATGGAATGTTCCAAGTACAAGGGGGTTTCCATAGGTCATTGCTCCCTTTGCCTCTCTGAGGGGGTCCAGATTCTGGCTCGTGGCCCCCAGTAGGCTGAACTTCAATTGACTGATGCCCCAAGACTAATATATCGCATATCAGTCCAATAGCTCCAGGGACCCAGAGGGGTTCCCCTCAGAAAAATGCTTTTAAATGTAGTCAAATTGCTAACTATGTAAGCTGTTACAAAGTACATTTTTTCTTTAAACTATTCTACGCTTCAAAATTGTATGAAAGAATTATCGACAAAACATGGCTGGAAGACCCGAGAGTAGCAAGGTGCACTAAGGGGAAGAATGGTGTGGGGAAGCAGAACATTATGGTAAGGGATCAAATTATTAGAGAGGCTCATCACCACGACACTGCAGGGACCAGGGGATTGTATATCATTCTACTCTAGCCACCTTAACGTGTAACAGTCACATCGTCCAACATGCACCCATTCCTCTTGCAAGATTTATCAAGCCCTTCATAACCCAGAAATATTTACATTCTGTATTATGTCAATTTTATGACCTTTGGAAACCAGTGGGTATGCTGTGTATTTTCAGGATTAACAGAGCTTCAAAAATTCTGAGCTATCTCTAGCTCAAATATATAACTTAAGAAGACTTTAATCCTTAATGGCTAATTATCTACTCTAATGCCATTCCTTAGTATCACATCAAAACATCTACATCAAAAATTCCCATTTTTATGGCAACATTAATAACAATGAGTTGCTCATGCATATTTAGGAACATTTTCAAATTGACAAAATATGCATACACCATATGGTTATTAATATGGACTAAATTAACAACTACTTAAAATGTTTGATCTTATACAATCTCAGCCATTCTATATTTTGATCACTACCCTTTTAGTAAGTGGTATAAAGTAGAGAAAATATAATAGAAAGCCATATAATGGTGGCCAGAAAAAAAAACACCCAATATTTCATGATTCCATTAAATAAAATTGATATCATGCATCTTCAGACACCAAACTCAACATTATACAACATCCCAACTGGTTATTTATTATGGTAATGTTATATTCACGATCGCGTTTCCCATTTACTCTGAATGACGACAATATACAGAGTCTAAACTAGAATCATTCCTCAAGTTATTGCAGTGTTTATCAGGCATGGGAAACTCAGAAAATAATAACTCATAATAAATTAAATTATCAGACAATTACTACTCTGTTATTAATTAAAACTAAAAACAAATTAACAGCCAGCTATCCATAGGTTAAGCTGAATACTGACATCATGCAATCATTAACTGGTGATTTCTTAATGACTGATCAGAAAAGACATGTAGTAAGAAAAATATGGAAGCAAACTACATGAATTTTCTGTCATGATACCATCTGTGTGGATCACAAAAACTTGGGTTAATTTATTCTTTGGCCACCACAAACAAAATAATGTTTTACCTTAACTATCCACTTTCCACCGGGGAGAAATATAGATGAATAACATCAATTTGTGTTCACTTACAGCTTTACACATTAGGTGTTCTTCAATTATCAAACAATTTCACAAATACAAAGGGAAACTCAATATTGCATAGCCATTTTAGCCCAGCTACACTGACCTTTTAGGATGTAATCGGTGAGTAATGTTGGTACAGTAGGACTGTCCTCATTTATGGCCATCAAAA